CAGCGTCTTTCTTCCACGCACTTTCATCACTGTCGGATCTCGAGTTAAGGTTCGTACATACCGAACGCGATGATGAGTATTTACGAAACGCAATTATCTTCCGAACGAATACTTTTTTTTATCCTGATGTTTATAAGAGAGAAAGTAGACGTGTGTGATTATAGCGGAAATTTACCATTCGATCAAATTACAAAAAATTCTTGTGATACGCAAATAAAATGTTCCATTTTCATGTTTTCCATCTCGCGTCAGTTTGTATGATCGTAAAGTCGAGAATCGCGTAAAAGAGTGGGATAAGATCGTTTATTCTTATCGTCGAGAATTTTTTCGAACCTCGCCACTGTCAATGCAGATTACCACCGAGCCACACACGTACGTAACATACACACAAACAAAAATTCACGCGATACAGTCGCACAAAATTAAAAGATACACAACGACGATTCTTGAACAAACGATCGCGATAGATCTCGCGTGGGATCATTGCTATCGCGAGATCATCGAGATCATCGAAGTGTCTATTCATCGAATTTGCTCTTCGTTAACGTCGTTTCTCACGAGTACCTGTAAAGACATAAAAATACAAAAAAATATTAAAATATGACAACGCGCGAACCTATCTCCTATGAATCTATCGAATGATTTCGATTTTCTGGGAAAATCGGGCGTATAAATTTTGAAAGAGCGCAGCACATCGCGATAACGAAGCTTCGGTGTAAAAATTCGGTGTAAAACTGCATAAAAATTTTATTATTTCGAGAACGGCTCTCGGTAGTGCGCATCTTACGTGTTTCAACTATTCGACAGCGATTCTCGACGGTAGAAATCTCAAACGGTAGTCCTGAATGTGCATACACAACACACACACACACACACACACACTCCACACTCACTCGCAACACACATGTACAAATTTCACGAAAGACGCGTGAGTTACATGTACATATATATTCACACACACACACACACACACACACACAAAAGCGTTATGTATGTAGAACACTGTGTACACGCGCGGGGACGAGGGAGGTGAATCGAGCAAAGTCGTCTCCGGGCATGTACACAATCGACGAATTGTATATTACATCCTTTGCGTGAGAGGGGATTGAGAAGAAAGCGAGAGAAAACACGACGGTATATAAAATTGCTGTGATTTTATCCACGGGAAGGCACCCGGGCGTGTTTTTATTATATGGAGAGTCGGTCTCGGACAGTGGAGTCGCTTGACGCACGGTGTGCGATTGTGAATGTTTCGGGAGTGATTCCGCGAGAATGATTCCGCTTGTGAGAGAAGGAAGAAAGAAAGGAAGGAAGAATGATTGCGCGCGTAGGTACGTAACGCGCTCGCGCCCGCTCCGGCAATAATAATAATAATAATAATCGAGCTCGCTCGATTAATCACGTGTCTGCTTCGTGCTCTCGCGCGGCATCGAGATTTGTTCAATTACCGTTACTCCTGGACGAGGAGCGCCGAACACGCTCGCGTAAATTAGTAATGAGAATAACGAGAAATCCGCGCCGTCGATGGATTCCACAATTTTTACCCGTGAAATTCAAATTGGACATTTCTGACATCTCGTCGCACACGTGGAAATTTTTATCGGAATTTTTCCTGAATGCGTGGGAATGAAGATAACGGTTTGCGCATGAGAGAGCCTGTGTGTGTATGTGTATGCGTGCGTGCGTGCGTGCGTGCGTGCGTGCGTGCGTGCGTGCGATCATGTGCATGTGCTAATTGAACGGCTAATGGAGGGAAAGGGGATAGGAAGGGGAAGAGAATCTATATCGTGTTCGGCGTCGAACGAAAAGGCTCTGTTGTACGTAGCAATTATAGAAACCATGTCTGTGATTATACTAAGAATAGAGCGACAATATAAGCAATCTCCATATGTAACGACCTAAAATACGAAGCGGCGGCGTGTGCGCTTACTATACATACCGGTATGTAAATGGTACATATATGTGTATACTACTATATATATATATATATATATATAAGAAGAGAGGAGAGAGAAGAGAGAGAGAGAGAGAGAGAGAGAGAAAGAGAGACCTTCAGAAGGAATTTGTACAAATCCGCTGGGGTGAGTCACCAGCAAGTCTGTGATTTTAGCTTGGTTACTAATTCAGTATTTTTTTAAATAAAACGAGACAAAATCAAGATAAATCATAAAAAAAGGAACATGATTCGGCCCGCGAGAGAGGAGGGCTCGCGAGAGAAGGGAGGAGAAAGTTTGTGAAAGAGAGAGCGTGTGTGCTCAGGCTGTGAGAGAGAGAGAGAAATGTTGCGAATGTATGAATGTGTGCTTGAAAAGAGAAAAAGGTGCGAGAGAGATAGACGCGGGGAAGGAGAATCTTGGAATTAGAAGTTTGCAATAAAATTATTGGGATATCCTGGAAGAAAATTTCTCCAAGATGATTTCGCAATTCTCTAATTTATTTTACGAAAAAGAAACGCATGATAATCTTACTGTATTATATATAGTTTTGTTTTTACCACGTGCAATTAGTGAGATTATAATTAGTCAAATCAAGTGTTGGTATCGTGGCGACGTGCTCGAAATGAAAGGAGCGTGATGTAAAAC